ATATTATGTTTGTAATACACGTCTGCCAAATTAAATAATTAGGTACTTTAGCCTTCTTTCTAATCGAGGGATTGTTTTTTCTGACCTAACATTTGAGTTTGGCTGTGGGAAGTGGAGAGAACTGCTTGTCACTTAGGTTATCACGATGAAGCACTTGCTGCATTCCTAGGATCATATGGTGAACACTGTTATGAACAAGTGTTTATATTTTACTAGGGGTATGAAACTATTTTAAATCAGAAATCAGAGGTAGGATTTTTCAAATATTTTGAGGAGTGGGACTACAAAATTTAATAGCCCTGTACCCTCTCATATTCTCCTATTTCGGCCCTCCAAATTTATTATTATATAGTGACATGCAGATGATCTGATTTTTAAAAACCTCACTTTAATGACATTTTATGATTATGATTTGAATCTATTATTTGAGGAATGACTTCGAGGATTCTGGGCCATTTGTTTGACTTCTTTAAAATACTTTTCTCCAAGGGAACCCTTATGCATTGATGGTGGGATTGTAAACTGGTACAGACACTATGGAGGTTCCTCAAAAAACTAAAAGTAGAACTGCCTTATGACCCAATGATCCCACTTTTTGATATTTATCCAAAAAAAGCAAGAACATTAACTAAAAAGGACTTATATCCCTGTGTAGTCATTGCAGCATTATTTATAATAGCCACAATATGGAAACAACCTAAATGTCCATTAACAAATGAGTGGATAAAGAAGTGTGATGTATATAAACAATATTACTCAGCCATAAAAAGAAGGAAATATTGCCATTTGCAACAACATGGGTGGTCTTCAAGGGCATTATGCTAAGTGAAAAAAGTCAGACAGAGAAAGACAAATACTATATGATTTTACTTACATGTGGAATCTAAAAACCAAGTAAACAAAACAGAAACAAACCCATAGACCCAGAGAACAAGTTGGTGATTGCCAGATGGAAGGGAGGTTGGGGGATTGGGTGAAAAGATGAAGGGATTAAGAAGGACTAATTTCCCATTAAAATGGGAGGTAATATTTGCTAACAACAGCTCCAACAAAAAAGGTTAATATCCAAAATATATGAAGAACTCAAACAACTCAACACCAAACAAACAATCCAGCTAAAAAATGGGCAGAGGACCTGAACAGACACTTCTACCAAGAAGACATACAAACAGCCAAAAGATATTTGAAAATATGTTCAACTTCACTAGCTGGAAATGCGAATCAAAACTGCAATGAGATACCACCTCATACTTGTTAGAATAGATATTATCAATAAGATGGGTAGTAACAAGTGTAGGAGAGGATGTAGAAAAAAAGGAACCCTCATTCTCTGCTGGTATAAATGTAAAGTGGTACAGCCACTAGGGAAAACAGTATGGAGGTTCCTCAAAAAATTAAGAATAGAGTTAACATATGACCCAACAATCCCTTTTCTGAGTATCTGCCTGAAAACCTCAAAAACATTTATTCACAAAGATATATGCACCCATATGTTCACTGTAGCATTATTCACAGTGGCCAAGATGTGGAGACAACTAGTGTCCTTTGATAGAGGACTGGATAAAGAAGATGTGGTACATATATACAGTGGAATACTAGTCAGCCATAAGTGAAGATGAAATACTGCCATTTGTGACAACATGGATGGACCTTGAGAATAGTACACTAAGTGAAATAAGTCAGAAAAAGCTGAGAACCATATGATTTCACTCATGTGGAATATAAAACTGAAACTAATAGATACAGACAAAACTATGGTTATTTTGGAAAGAAGGAGGTTGGGAGGATAGTAAAAGGTAAAGGGGGCTAAATATATGGTGACAGAAGATTTGACTTTGGGTGGTGGGAACACAATGCAATATACAGATCACGTATCATAGAAACAGATACCTGAAACCTATATAACTACATAAACCAGTGTCACCCAAATAAATTTAATGAAAAACAATTGCCAAAAAAAAAGTCATGTGGATATAAACTACTGCATAGGGAATACAGTCAATAATTTTATAACAACTATGTATGATGTCAGGTGGGTATTAAACTTATTGGAAGGGGATCACTTCATAAGTTATATAAATGTCTAACCACTATGCTGTACACCTGAAAGTAATAAAATATTGCAGGTCTGCTATAATTGAAAAAAAAATAGGATTTCAGGACTTAGAAGGTCCAACCCAATGAATGCAAAAACAAACACACACAAAAAAACCTTTCCCTTATTCCATTTCTGTATAACCTTCTTAGCCATTTAGGAGCAAGCCTAGAACTTGGCATTTTTTAATTGAATTTATTGGGGTGACATTAGTTAATACAATTATATAGGTATCAGGTGTACAATTCTATAATACATCATCTGAATATTTTACTGTGTGTTCACTACCCCAAGTCAAGTCTCTTTCCATCACTATTTATCCCCCCTTTTACCGTCTCCCACCTCCCCACCCCTGTTCCCTCCCATAATCGCCATATCATTGTCTGTGTCTATGAAGGTCTTTTCTTTCTTTCTTTTTTTTTTTTTTGCTTAATCCCTTTACTTTTTTCACCCAGCCCCACACCCCTCCTCCCCTCTGATAGCTGTAAGACTGTTCTCTGTATCTATGAGTCTGATGTTATTTTGTCTGTTTGTTTGTTTTCATTAGATTCTACATGCAAGTGAAATCATATGGTATTTGTCTTTCTCTGACTGGCTTATTTCACTTAGCATAATACTCTCCAGGTCCATCCATGCTGCCATAAAAGGTTAGAATACCTTCATTTTTATGGCCGAGTAGTATTCCATTGTGTAAATGTAACACAGCTTTTTTATCCACTCATCTACTGATGGGCATTTGGGCTGATTCCAAATCTTGGCTATTGTAAATAACACTGTAATGAACATAGGGGTGCATATATTTTTTTGAATTCGTGGTTTGGGCCTCTTCAGATATATTCCTAGAAGTGGAATTGCTGGGTAATGAGGCAGTTCCATTTTTAATTTTTTGAGGTAACTCCATACTGCTTTCCACAATGGCTGCATCAGTCTGCATTTCTACCAACAGTGCAAAAGGGTTCCCCTTTCTCCACAACCTCCCCAGCACTTGTTTGTTGATTTATTGATGATGGCCGTTCTGACAGATGTGAAGCGATAGCTCATCGTGGTTCTAATTTGCATTTCTCTGTTGATTAGTGACGCTGAGCATCTTTTCATATATCTATTGGCCAACTGTATGTCCTCTTTGGAGAAGTGCATATTCAGGTCCTTTGCCCATTTTTAAATTGGATTGTTTAGGATTTTTGATGAGTTTTATAAGTTCTTTATAAAATTTGGATATTAACTCCTTATCAGATATATCACTAGTGAAAATATTTTCCTGTTCAGTGTTTTTTTTCATTTTGTTGATGGTTTTCTTTCAGGTACAAAGCTTTTTAGTTTGATGTATTCATTTGTTTATTGTTTCTTTTGTTTCCCTTGATATATAAGAAAAAATATTGCTATGAGAAATGTCTGAGATTTTACTGTGTATATTTTCTTCTTGGATTTTGTGGTTTCCAGTTTAACGTTTAACTCTTTAACCCATTTTGAGTTTATTCTTGTGTATGGTGTAAGAAGGTTGTCCAGGGTCATTTTTTTTGCATGTATCTGTCCAATTTTCCCAAATTTTATACACTATTAGTATCCAATAAATTTATACACTATCAATATCCATAAATTTGGATATTAATATCCAAATTATATACACTATTGAATAGGCTGTCTTTACTCTATTGTATGTTCTTGCCTCCTTTGTCAAATATTAAGTGACCATAGAGGCTTGGGTTTATATCTGGGCTCTCTATTCTGTTCCATTGACCTATGTGTTTGTTTCAATGCAAGTACCAGGCTGTTTATGGCTTTATAGTCTAGTTTGGTATGAGATAGCATGATTCCTCCTACTTTGGTTTTCTTCTTTAAGATCACTGTGGCTATTTGGGTTCCTTTGTGGTTCTATATGAATTTTTGGAATATTTGTTCTAGTTCTGTGAAATATGCCATTGGTATCTTGATGGGAATTACATTCAATCGATAGATTGCTTTGGGTAGTATGGATATGTCAATGATGTTAACTTTTCCTATCCATGAACATGGAATATGCTTCCACTTACTTGTGTCTTCTTCAGTTTCTTTCTTCAGTGTCTTCTAATTTTCTGAGTACAGATTTTTTACAGCCTTGGTTAAATTTATTTCTAGGTTTGGTTTTTTTTGATGCAAAAACTTTGTATTTTCAAAAAAAATTGTGATGGCTGTTCCCTAAGTATGACATTTTACTCAAATCATGTTTTTATCAAATCTGTCTTTTTTTAATGCATCTAAAAATGCTGTCTTTAGCTACTATTTGTCTGCATCTTTTTGAATATCTACTATTATCATGGGAAAGAGGTGGATGGCAGAGCTAAACTCACAGTTATGAGACCTCACTTCTTATTTGAACTCCAAGGTGTTTGGGGAACCTCACCTATTTTCTCTTCTAGCTCTCTTTTGTAAAAGAATATTTATATTTAAGAAATATTCATTTATTCATACAACACACAATGCTAGAGCCTCCGTTCTATACCGGCAGTATGTGTGCACACACATGTGCATGACTGTGTACATGTGTGTGCATGCGTTTACAAGGTCAGGCAGGAGAGCCTGAGTAGCTCAACCTGAGCTCCCAGTCTCAGGACCCTTGGAGACAGACTGTATAGGACATTAGAACTGTCTCATAACTCACAGGGAAGTTTTTGTTTTATTTTTCTTATTTTTGGCTCTATTTCCTGTTGCATTTCTTTACTATTGCTACCTTTCTTTAGCTTTCTTGTCATAAGAGAAAATAGTAATTAGTGCTTTTGGATTTTGAAAAGGCTGCAACAGAATCTGTCTTGATTTTGTTTCTTGGATAGGGATGGCTTTTGTATACTGTGCTGAAAAAGTGAAAGCAGATGTTTCTCTCGACTCCAAGTTCTCTCTTCGGTGATACTTGTTTCCACTTTACCTGCAGGGGCTAATGTGAATGCAGCAAAGCTTCACGAGACAGCCCTTCATCATGCAGCCAAGGTGAAGAACGTGGACCTCATCGAGATGCTGATTGAGTTTGGAGGCAACATCTATGCGCGGGACAATCGGGGGAAGAAGCCCTCTGACTACACGTGGAGTAGCAGTGCCCCTGCCAAGTGCTTTGAGCACTACGAAAGTAAGGCCCAGCTCTCTTTGCTGTCTGAATGATGCAATGCATTGTAGAACTGCACAGGAGACACTTATGCAAGAAGCCCTGTTCTGACAATATATCAGGGCATTTAGGAGTAAATACATAATCCCAGGCTAAATCCATACAAGGCTGAGAATGTAGATCCAGCCCTCACTCTTCAGGAAACAAACGATCTGGCTAAGGATGAGGTGTCTTCTTTGGCTTAGAAAAAATTGTGGCACAATTTTTTAATGAGTTTACATAGAATTAGAGTCACAAGAGGCTTTCAAACACCTACCAGTTAGAAAAAAACTATTCAAACTTTTGCCAGCCTTACCCACCCAAAATTCATTATGAACTTAGAGGCAAACTCCATCCATATCTGTCGGCTAACATTTCCTGACAGATGATGTTTTTTTTCCAAATAACTTTTTGGGGAAAAGGTCACATGGGAAAATGAATTTCACCAGTAATTCTTATTTTTTTTCAAAGACCTTATTTAAAAATTTTTGATAAATTGAGAAAACTCTACTTGGTTTTTATAGTTTTGTCAAACAGAGATCATTCTAAAAGACAGGTCCTTGCAGGTGGAGTTGGGCTCTGCTTTGTGAAGGTCTCTGTGCCCCGGCTGCCAGGTACCTCCAGGCATCTTCCTGCTTTGGCCCTGGTTTGCTCGCATTCCTGAGCCACAGCTCCAGGCTTGTCTTTAGTCCTGAGGTCCTGACCCTCCGAATTAGGACATGCACTGCATACTCTTCTGGAGTGGCCCTGTGCGTCAGTTCTGTTGGGGCTCCCTTGTGCCTTGCGTCACTCAGTAGCCAGAGCAGAGCCTGTGGCTTGGAACAGCAGGAGCTGGCAGCCAGCACTAGCTTAGGACTAACCCTCACCCTGTCCCTCATTGTCTGGAAGTGTGACAAACAAGGCCGATAGCTGTAGACTAGTGCTTGACTGACAAATCCTTGTGCTAGGTTATAATATTATGGGACAAAAATCACACACACACACACACGTGCGTGTACATAAACCCACAAAAACTCCCCACAAAATTAAATCCCTCTGGACATCACTGGAATTTCATTTCCTGCTCTTGCTTTTTTGGACCCTGGCTGCCTTCCTGGTAGCCTTCCAGAGAAGAGTTGCAGGGCATGTCCTATTTCCAGGAAATGGGAGGTGTTTCCAGTTCTTGATATATTTTAAGTTGAAGGATGTTAATCTCTGTTCAACTATGTTAAGTTAACCTCATGTGCTTCCTGTTCCCTTTTTCCAGAGACACCCTTAACCCTGTTACAGCTCTGCAGGGTGAGCTTTAGGAGGGCTACCGGTGTCAGAGGGCTGGAGAAAATCGCAAAGTTGAACATCCCTTCCCGGCTCATCAATTACCTTTCCTACAACTGAGCTGCACAGGCATGGGAGGCAGAAGCTGGCCTTACTGAGCCCAGCGCCATTTGTCTGAAACCCTCAGCTGCTATAGATGTCTGTTGGCCATCCTGTTTTGTCTTCTCTGCAGACTCCTGGAGAATATTTCCAAGGCACTGGAAAGGTGCCGCCTCAGCTTCTGCTGGGAACATGGCCCTGTTCTGGCTCTCCTGGAACTCTAACTCTGGGGTTTCTAGCCGTCTTTGTCCTCTTCTCACTGACATCCCTCAGAAAAACTCTCAGGAAAGACTCTTCTGGGGGTACAGGGGAAGGCCAGGCAAGGCTGGGGTCCAGGGTACTGCTGTTGATTTCCACATGCCTGGAGGTCCGGGATCAGGGTGCCATCTGTGATTCATTCAGCACTAGGCAGCCCTGTGCCACAGAGGGTGGGCCGTGAGAGGTAAGGTCCTGACTCCGTGGCCTGGGGTGGCTGCATTGGTGATGTCCTGCATTTGGATGCTTTTTTTCTGGAGCTGAGGGTGGGGATTTTCCGAGGTCCACCTGTGCCTCAGTGTACCCATCACTCAGGGGCTTTATGTGGGTCTCGTGGAGGAAGGCTCGGGGCCTTCATTCCCCACAAGCAGGACAGTGTTTCACAGGAAGTTTTGCTTCAGTTTTAGGTCTCAACTTGAAAAGTTTATGTCAGGGATAAAAAAACAAACCCTTTTAGATATATAGGCTGTAACTTAGGTTTATTTACTAAATTAAAGCAAAAGTTAATGTGAAGGCATGTCAGCACATATTTCCATGGGCAGTCATTTCCAGTGTGAAGGAGTGTTAGGAAATGCTGTGGAGATTATTTTTCATCTTTCTACAGTTGCCAAATGAATTCCTTCCTACCCTAAATTTTGCTAACTCCTTGAAGCTCTGAAATTGGTAGAAGATATTGCCAGCACCCAGTGGGTATTATCAACCACTGATTCATATATTCGGCAGATACTTGTGGAACATCTGTTATGCTTAAGACGTTGTCTCAGTGCTTTGAAGTAGATAGGATCAGACTCATGATCACGGACAGGGAAAGAAAGAATTTTGCAATCTGTTCCTGTAGGAATAGAAACAAGTAATTCTACATTATAAGTCATGCAGTGAACTATAAAGAAAATTCAGACTGCATTTGTCTGCCTAAGAGTCTAGCATAACTAAAAAACAAAAACAAAAACAACAACAACAACCACAAAACAACCCAAAACCAGGGAGTTAAACTAGGAAACTACATAATTAGTTCAGGTACATTTGGTTCCTGGGGAAAGAGAGAAGGCACCCCTTCTGAACACCCCAGAAATGTGGACATCGCTACATTCTTTCAGACAGTACAGAATAGAATGAGCCTGGATTGGCTAAGGCAATGCCAAGTGCACTGCACGACCAGAGTGTCTGTGTAGTTACTTGGGGCCCCAGATCTGCTGGAAAGTTTCATGCTGGTTGGTTGCAGTTTTCTTTCATCTCACTGTTCCACCCATGGTTATGTCATTCTGTGCTGAGAGTAGGAGCCACTCCTGTTTGGTTACAGTCTTAAATACAAGTTCTGGGTAAATCAGTGTTTCTGTATGTACTAATAACAATGAAAAAAAAAGCACTGGCTTCTGCCCTTTCATGTTTGTAACAGGGACTCGCCTCTAGCAATGAGCTGGTAGCATTTCCATAAGCGGGTGCACAGAGTCCTGGCCCCACACTGGCTGCTCAATAAAAGGTGTTGAATAGAGTCCATCCTTGTGTTCACACGGCTCTTTTCTTGTTGGGAGCAGAAGCACTGGATGGGCTTCATCCTGTGTGAGTCCAGAGGGGCCACTGTCTTCTTCCCTCTACTTTGGAAGTTCAAGTAAAAGAGCCGTGCCTGTTTGACCCTTGTCTTCCCATCTCCCCACCTGTTGCCTGCTGCAGTGGAGAGACACTGCCCAAGTGACCAGGTGACTAGGATTGTACGCCTCCTGCCAGTCTGTAACTCCCCCACCCCCAGCTTTAGTGCGCTGTAATACACAACCTGCCTGAATCCTTAGGCAGAGGTGTGACCCTGGACGAGTTTCTCCACTCCTCTGTGCCTCTGCACAGGTCTCCCCACCTGCAGAGGAGGGACGGAAGGTCAGACTCTGATCCTTAAAAGGATGTTTATGATTAACCACTGAATCTTAGAGATGAGAACTGAGGCCCTGTGAGCCTCATAGGTTTTTTGAGACTGAAACAAGGTAATCAAAAGGTGCTCTGAAAAATATAAAGTGCTCCCTAAAAGTAAAAGTTACATGGTTATGGCTGGACTATGGTTTCGTTGGTATTTGTAGATCTTATTACAGCTGTGTAAATGACTCCCTTTTGACTTTGGGAAAGTAACCTATTTCAGGAGGAATATATTCAGAAGACCTCTCGGTTTATGTTTTAAGACTCAATGGGCAGCTGACAAATTTAGAGAAGACATTTGCAACATAGATAAATGATTGGTAATGAAAATAAAGATCATTTATAAATCATTAATAAAAAGATTAACAACCCAATAGGAAAAGAAAACAGGCAAAGACTACGAAGAGGAAATTTACAAAGGGGAAACCTCAAATGTACCCTGACAGGAAAGGATGGCTGGTCATGACCACGGAAATGCAAATTGGTAAATATTTAATTCAACAAAATGATGCCATCAGCTTGACAAATATTAGAAGGTCTGACAGTTTCTTAATGTTGATGGGCCATACAGGCAACTGGGAACTCATGGCTTGCTAGTGGGGTGTAAGTTGATCTGTGTATTTTGGAGAGCTGTTAGATGACATCTAGGACTATTGAAAGGCCGTGGCACGTGTGCCTAGCACGTCTACTTTTACAAACACACCTTAGAGAAACTCTCAGACATATCATAAGAACATGTAGATGTTTAGTGCAGCAATTTTGTAGTAGCAAAAGACCCCATCAGGAGGGGAGAGGTTGTAGAAGAAATTTGTACAATGCCCTCTGTGCTGCAAAAAATAAGAAAAACCAGAAGTACATGTTTTAACACTAACAGATCTAAAAAGTATAACAGCAGATAAAAAAGTTAACATATTTATGTACAACACAGATGTATTTGTATGAGTCGAAAAACAGCATCGTAGGTATCTGAGGATACCTGTGTGTGTGGTAAATGTGGAATCGTGGAGCCCGCACGCCAACATCCTGCTGTGCTTTTCTCTGGGTGAGAGAGGGACCTGTGACCTGGAAATAGGAACACAAGGGACTTCATTTCTCTTTGATATTTCATTTCTTAGAAAAAGATAGAAAGTAAATATGAAGAATGCTATTTGTTCATGGTGGGTGGTGGATAGATAGGTGTCATTCTCCATGTGTTTTGGTATATTTTTTTAATAATAAAAATTTATTATTTATTTAAAGGGCAGAAATGCCCTTTAAAAAAAAGAAATGACCCTGGCTGGTGTGGTTTAGTGGATTGAGTGCCAGCCTGCCAACCAAAGGGTCTCTAGTTCGATTCCCAGTCAGGGCACATGCCTGGGTTGCAGGCCAGGTCTCCAGTAGGGGGCACTTGAGAGGCAAGCACACGTTGGTGTTTCTCTCCCTCTCTTTCTCCCTCCCTTCCCCTCTCTCTAAAAATAAATAAACAAAATATTTAAAAAAAAACATACATGTGTGACAGTTGTAAAGTGGATTCTGTTTAAGAATACCTTTCAGCTTCCTATTGGCTACAAAGTCATATTTGGGTTAAAAGGTTTTGTATTCCACAACAGGTGCTGATGCCCCCACCTTTTATTTTTTTGACCAACTTCATTTTTGAATGAGGAAACAGACTGCATCTACTTTCCTAGATAAATTGCACTTTGAAAGCCCTGAGCATGCTGTGTGGCTCCCAGTCTGCCTGCATCTCAGGGGAGGGAAGTGCGGGTACAGCCCCTTTCCCTCTCTCTGCCTAGCCTGCTCTGCTTTGGCATGACTCACTCCCTGGATGTTGAGAAGCTTCTAAATGTGGCTCCGGGCCAAATATCCAGTTTCAGATCCTACCCCTTGGGCAGGTAGAAACCAGTTCCTCTAAACTGAGGAATTATTTCACAGTGGGAAGATGCAGCCTTGCTCCTGGGTGCTGCCTGCCCTCTGAAGGTGGGGCGAGGGGGGTGTAGGGAAGAAGTGGGTCACGCAGCTGCGCCTTCTCTCCTGTCATCCCTCAGTCCCCTCAGGTCTCCTGGGAGGGAAGTGGAGTCTCCTCCCCTGTTCCTTTCCTCACTGACGCTTTCAACAAAGATGCCACATGTCATCATCCATCCATCCTTCTAGATGAGTCTGCCTGAAGTTTGAAGTTGTTTGGGACAGAAAGAATGCTTTGTATGTCCATCTCCTCCCCTGGGCTGCTTTGTTAGAACTACTGCTCATGCTTTCTTTCCAGGGTGCAACATTTGTTACTTTTGAGCAGGTGGGTTCCTTTATTCACAAGAATGGCCCCTAAACTATCTCCAGACACAGTTCCTACCAGCTCCCTCTTGTTGTGGGATCTTGAGGGAGTAGCAGGCTGAGAGCTCCTTCCTTTCCTCTGGGCAGCATTGTAGCATTTACTTTTCCAACTGTAATGAGTGGAAAGTACTTCCAGACTCTGGCATCTTTGCTTTTTCTCTTTTCTCAGTGTTGGTGCCACATGGCATTAATAGCTAGGCCCCGGTTACGTTGGAATGAAAGTCTTGTGATCTTTGGCAATTGGAATGAAAATATATCTTAAGTTGGGGGCCTCCTAAAAGCCGAATGTCTTAAAAGCATAAAGATTCATGGCAGCTGTCTCTCTGTCTCTCACACATGCATACATTTATTTATATGAAAGTTTAGTTTCCAGCAGCTGGTCTCCAGGTGTGTGGCTCTTCTAAACCACAGACTTCAGAGGTGAGAGAGAATTTGCAACTGAACTCTGAGCCAGAACATACAATTAGCTTAGTTTTCTGCTCTCTGTGTGATCTCCAAGAAAACTCTCATTGCTTCTTGCTGTTAATTTGAATCCTGAGGCTCATTCTGCTGTTAGAGACAGAGGTATGGGTGAGACAAAAAGCAGGAACATTAACTCATTCCTTGGGCCCCTTTCTCCATTCATCCATCCTTCCATCCACCCATCCATCCTCACCCATCCTTTCTTCTCCCTTTTTTAAGCGGTTATTCTGTTTTATGTTCTCTGCTGGGCACTAAGGGTAAAAAAACAAACAAACAAACAAAAAAAAACAGAACAAAACAAAACCAAACAAAATGAAATGACAACACAAACACAAATCTTGGCCCTGAAGGATCTCACTGTTTCTCAAGAAGCAGACACAGGAACAAGTGCTGTATCTAGAAGCAACAAACAGGAAGGAAGAGCTAACTCTGTTCTTGGAAGAGAAGAGCAGAGAGATGGCCTCGACTTTCTTTCTCAAATCTTGGGATAATAAATTCAATCGTATAAAAAACCATATTTTTATATTCACAGTGCCGTGTATTTCACAAAGCTTTCTAAGTGATATCATAGGCATTTAGACAGGCATGAGCAGGGTAGGAATGATAGGCCAGGTACAAAAGGTCACCAGGCGGAAAGCCCTGGATGCCTAGCAACAGGCAAAACTGGGAGGACAAGTATTGTAGGTGGGACCCCTCCCTCAGGGTGACCTTTCCTCCTCTAGCATATTGCTGGTCATGCTGTTTGAACCCCTGACCTTTCATATCCCTTGGTCATGTGGCTTGGACCCTCCCCTGCCATTTCCTCCCCTGGCGGAGTCATGTGGTAGACCCCTTGGGGGAGAAATAAGGGGGCCAGAGAGTAGCCTCCTATGACCCCCATCTGAGCACTTGCACAACCACTCCTTTAAGCCTCAAGCCCTCAGGACAACGAAGTTCTGGCCTGCATCAATTGATCTTACCAACAAAGCCTCAGGTTTGTTGATCACAGCAACAGAGGTTTGGTCAAAAGAGAGATAACATCTAGACCTCAGCTGTGTTTCAGCTCCAGGCCCAGAAGAGCAGCAAGGCCAGGTGGGGCAACATCTTGGCTAACTTAGGACCATCTGTGATGACTAATGACCCGGAACTGACCAATCAGCAGAGACCATGACCTTAAGAGGACACATCTAGAAAGCTGATGAATATTCTATCCAGATCTTACCTTTCTTTTGCCATTGTAACTTGTTTCCTGAGTCCACACAGCCCAGCTGGCTCTGTTCTTCTGTACCTCAGTTCTATCTGTATAACTTTCTAAATAAACTTTTGCTTGTACCTGCGTCTTGCCTCTGGATTCTTTCTCAGGCAGAACACAAAGACTGAGGTCTTACATCTGTTGCCATTTGTCATTAACATAAGGACCTGGGTTATTGCCAGCACTTCCCCAGAGTGAGTGTGAAGATGCAAAAGACTCACAGATGCATCTTCTCTTTTGTTTCATACCATTTCCCCCAAGCACAGAAATAGGAGAATGATGTTTAAGCCCATTTTACATGTGTAAAGAGTTTACTGTAACCCCTTCTTATGTTTATGGTTTTAAAAGACCAGGAAGAGAATTTTACAAAGGACCAGATGGGCTACAACAGGGAGCATGGGGATTTTCCCTACCTCCTGTGAGAATCAATACCTTGCAGAGCATATATGGGTGATTTTAAAAAATTAAAATGAGCCTTGGCTGGGTCACTTAGAAGGTTGGAGCATCATCCTGTGTACCAAAAGGTTATAGGTTCCATTCCTGGTCAGGGTGCATACTTGGGTTGCAGATTTGACCCCCAGTCAGGATGCATACAAGA